TTGCATAAGCAAGCCCATTCATAGTGTTCTAAAAAGGAGTGGCATGTTTTTAGTTATTTAATGAGTTTGACTCTGCATATTTTGTCAATGTATATAAAAATGCTTATTAAAAAAAAATTTCATATTTCTATGAAACAGATCTTTCCTGTGCTGTAACAGCTTTAGGAAACTTACTGTTGTAATGTGTTTTCATGTAGTCATCTGAACATAAATGTAACAGAATTTCTTTAATAAAAATTTTATTAAAGTCTGTATATATTTATGCATACACACACATTGTATTCAACTATACATGTGGATATACACGCACTAATTCCAAATGTTTTTCTTACAAAAATCACAGTATGCCTGAGGTAATGGTTTGGCTGCTGATTATTTAGCTTTGTTTTTGTTTTGGTTTTTTTTTCCACCAGTCAACACCTAAAGTAGATTGAGCAATGTGTTGTGTGTTTCTTAAGTATTGTGTTTGTTTTTGTTAAATTTTGTAAACATTTAGAATATAGCTATGTTTAGCATATAAGTGAAAAATATATAGGATGTTGTTTAAAACAAACAGGTGTGAGGACATGGATTTTATTACCTTGCTTCAGTTGGATGCTGATGTGCTGTGTGTTTGTATTTACAAAAGGCTATTAGGAGACACTCAAAGCTAATCACAAGTTCAACCCCAGTGTATTATGACCCAAGATGAAAGCTTGACTCCCAAGAGACTCTGTAAAAAGTGTTCTGAGATTCATATGTTTAGAGTTCTAGAACACTGTGGAGTGATTCCCACTCCCAGAACCTAACCTGTGCTGGGTTTAGCTGTTTTTTTTTTCTCAGACTTTGCAAGGTGCTTTGCAAAGTCATTTCACAGATGGTAACTCCTCTCTTATGTAAGGAAAATCTATACTGCTGTAAGAGAGTCTGTGTGAAATATTTTTATTTAAAGAATAGAAAAAGAAAAATTATAGTGGTTTTGAGTGTTTGTGATCCTATGGTGTATTTCCAACTGTGTAGCTCTTGTTGCCTTGCTAATTGTCAGTGGATCGATTGCTTCTAGCTTACATAAAGTTTTCTCTGAGTTTCTCCTTCCTCCTCTGGACATTTTGTGCTGCTGCTCTGTGTTGTTGTGCAGTACCTCAGATAATATCTCATCACAAATTATAAATTGTTGCAATGTTTGTCAGTAGGAAATGGAAGCTGCCCTTAAATGGGTCCTTTCAAACTAACTGAAAATGTACAAAATTTAAAGATAAAATCATAATGGGGTCAGACTCCTGATTAATGTAAATCTGTTTGCAGTTGCTGACGTAAATGGAAAAGTGCTGATGTACATCATCAGAATGTGGCTAGTGAAATGAAAAGAAAATAAAGGGGTTAGGGGGCTAGTGATGCTGGTCTCTTTATGTAAGCACAAGCTTTCACCCAAGACCACTTTGTTGTTAATATGTAACTCTGTAGTGCCAGAGGGGTCAGGCTGTTCCAGACACTGCAACAATGTGGTGCCTCCTACAAACATAATAGGAGCAGAACTATGTATTCCTTAATTAACCCCTGGACCAGGTCTTCCACTGGGATGGTTTAGTGGAACTCCATATACCTTAAAGGAAATAAATTGATTTACTGTGGCTGAGCACTTGGTCTTTTATTAATGCATATGTCTGTATTTTGGAGTTGGGTGCCTTGCTTTTCATGACCATAAATAGCTTAACATTGATCAGAGAGAAGTTATTTAAACTCTACAAACAGAACAGTCAGATTAATGAAAAGAAATATATATAGTATGGAAGGGGTTGATTTTTTCCTACCTTTTTAAAAATTTTTTAATCACAGTGTGGTGTGGTCTTTATAGAGCATGCCTTCAGATCATGCTTCCTTGCAATGATTTCTGTAGTTTGACTTTATCAAATGTATTATTGCACTAATAAATTCTCTTTTTTTTTTTTTTTTAATTTTTTTTTTTTTTTTTTATTTTTTTTTTTTTTTTTTTTTTTTTTTTAATACAGAAGGTACATTGATTCAAACAGGGATAGATAAGCCATGCAAATTTATATTTTGTTCCAGTTTATGCCATGCTTAGGTAGAACAGATAACTATTTAGTCTTGGCCCAAGCTGGCCCCATGTTATAATCCCCTGCAGTTTGCTTGTTTAATAACAAGCTTAAACTTGTAAGGTGCAGAAGGCTGCCAGAAATATTAGTGATCCTCAGAGAGCAACCCAAAAGAGAAACTTCCAAGTTGATACTTCAGTATCTATTAGGGGCAGTGTTTCAAATAATAAATGGGCTCTTAACATCTATCAGGTTATTGTTTTCTCTAGGGTCTGGTGACTGGGCTACATGCAATCACTTGATGGCCTTCTGAGGAGCCTACACCAAAATTAATGGTTTCATCAGCCTGCAGGAGAAATCAAGTAATAGGACACACCTAGGGCTATCCTAAAGGGTTCCTTTATGCTTAGTGAATACTGTCTAGCTTTTCCAGTAGAGTGTGGAGCATTGGAAGCTGAGTGTTGCAGACTGCATCAGAGAACTCTAATTTGATGGACTGTTTGGAGAGACTGTGGGAGAGCTTGAGCAGCATAAGTGAGCATCAAGAATGGATGTGGAATCAACTTTTAGAAAAAGTGATTTATAGTTTTACTATTTATCTATTTATGTATTTGATATTTTATAGGGGACTATCCTGGCAACCTGCCAGCTACAAAGAAAGGTGTAAGGGCGTCCAAGGTTCAGTAACTGCTATTTTGTGTGCAACCTGTGTTTGGAGACTAAACACTAGGACTTGATGCTATGGAAGTAAATCAGTATTGTATTAGCCTCTAGTAGCATAATCTTTAGAAAGCTATATTTTTCTCCCCTCTATTTTGAAGCACTTTATTTAGACTGTTTACATTGAGAAAATAACCCCTTAATTGCTGACAGCAACAATAGAAATGTTTTCAGATGTTGCTGTTTAAGGTTTATTTTCTTTTTTTCCTAGTAAATTTTCTTTCAAATTTTGGTGACATAAATGACCAGTTATGCTCTGAAGAACATGCTTAAAATGTTTCTGCAAGAGTGCCTGAGCTTGGTTTTTGGCAGTTCTCAAAAAAAATCTTTTCCTCCCCTAATAAGCCTGTAGTAGTAAGTGTGAATCTTTCACCTGATTCAGATCACACTGTAATTGACAGTAGGACTGTGAACTGCTATTACCTTAAGAATTAGTGCATAGCTTATGTACAGTCTAGTATGAAATTTCTCTTTGTATGAGGCCAAAACAAACATGCATCTACAAAATTGATCTTAAGGAGTAAATGCAAATGGGTTGCGGGTCTCCAGCCATGCCAGGAGTCTGCTTCCTAGTCTGGTCTGTAAGCAGTGCTGGCACAATGCAATAGTAGCATCTTCCTTGCCATCTCTCCTCTTGTATTTGTCTCTGGCCAAAATACCCCTTTGCACTGACCTTCAAATCACCATGTCCTTCTGGGGCTGATTGCTTCTGTTTAGTCTTTTTAGTCTACAGAGTTGTGCAAAGGCTGATTTTGCCTTTCTCCATCCATGACCACTGTGGGCTTTTATGTCCTCTGAGTCTCTCAAAAAACGAATGTTTGAGAGGGCTACACAGCTCACAAGGGCCTTTGAAAAACACAAAAAGTTGAAGTGAGTTGAATTCAGATAAATGTGCTTCTTTATGAGCAGACATTGAAAACAGATTTTGTTCAACAGATTTGCCAGTTATTGTATTTTACTTGAAATGATTGTACACTAAGGAGTGCCATTATTGCTTTTGTTTTGTTGGTTCCTTTTCTGCTAAGTTTGCTATCTCACCTCCAGAATTTATGTGCTTGGTACAGAATTTGCGGTGTGACATACTTTGACCCATGTGGGAAGTCAGATTTGATTGTTTTAATAATAATTTTTAACAATTTGGAACATCTACTAGTTTGAGCACCTTTCTTTTCAGTGAATGCACAAGAAAGATCTAGGAAGCATTCTAGTCATTATTAAATTAGTTTGTGTGAAAATCCAAGCAAAGACTAAAAGCACTGGAATTCAGATTATTTTCCATAAATTAAAGAAGTACTGGTTATGTTAGCATGGAGTGTGATAAAACTGCAACATATAATGTCATGAGACTGCTTTACACAGTGACTGGAAAATTGCCAGTTTAAATAAACTTTGTACATCTATTTGAAAGCATGTCTGTCTGCACACTGGCTATTTAATCCTTTAAGCCTTTATTGGTATTTTATTTTATAAATGTAGCCAACTTGTTAATGCATGTACTATAATTTTTAAATATTTGTTTGGGTTTAACACCTTATTTTGATTTGCTAATGATGAAGAATTAAAAAAAAAATCTTTCTAATAATTTTGGAGTTTGGGTTTATCCTTTTTTTTTAACTTTCCATTCAGAATAACAACATTAATGTTGATCTCAATGCAGTGTTTGATCAGAAGAGTATAGGGAATAATTCTGGGATTTAAGTAGCCTATGTATTATTCTGAAGGCTAAAAATCTGCAGTTCACCTCACTTTTGAGTCATTCCTCTAAAATGAGCAAAGTACTCAGAAACCTTTATAAATTACTGATGGATTTGGATGAAAGGCCTCTACAAGACCAAAAGTAGTTATTACAGCAGAGAGATCTAGCAATGTCATTTATTGTTAAAAAGAAAAGATAGTTAAATTACCTGCACCATGGTTCTAAGCAATAGAGACTAAGACAGAAAGAACAGTGTTTGTGAGTCTTTCTTTGGGTCTGCAGAACAACCAAAGATGTCTATACAATTTTGTCTCCTCAGTGTGAACCATGTGTTATGCTATAGTTCACTGTGGTATGCTGTGCTGTGGTTGTTACTCAGTAAACACATAAAACTACAGCAGTAATTATGTGGGCTATGTAGAAGGTGAAGCTGGAATGGAATAAAATCCATGCTTTACAGACATGCTGTCCCACTTGCTGATGGTGGTCAGGGTGAGCTTTCTCTGACTATAAGGACTGTGTAACTTCTAATTCTTCTTTTGTTCTTGCAGGTCAAGCCAGTTACTCACAGCAGGATCACTGTGTCAGCACGGTTTCGAAAGCCTCTCCAGGAGCCCTACACTATTTTGTAAGCAGAATTTTCACTTAGTGGTTTGCCCTTTCAGGGGTGGTAGTGGTAGTGTGTTCACTTCAGGTGAACTTTGTTTAAAATGCTCCTCCAAGTTATTTTACTTTGCTCTATTTCAGCCTGATTGCTAATGGAGACCTTATTAACCCTGCAGTGCGCCTCCTCATTCCCAGGAAAACACTGAATCACTGGGATCATATTCTTGAAATGGTTACAGGAAAAGTTACCCTCAGAAGTGGAGCTGTTCACAGGTATAAGGAAGACAAATATTTTCAAGATACATTTTATATGCCTAGATATGTTTCTAAAACTCCATAGGTAGATATGATGGATGATTCTTATTTTATGGGAAGTTTCACTGTAAGAAAATTAAAATACATCAAAAGGCCATAAAGTGGAAATACGTTGACTCTAAGTAACCTTCACGTTTCATTTCAAGTATTTTAAAAAAATAATAACTTCATTTTGCTTAAACTGGTATTTTAAAATTGTTATATATTAATTAATTATTTAATTAGCAGGCCTGTAATAATACAATAATAATGCAATACATTTAGTACTAATAAATAAGTTACATGTCATAATGAAATAAATGAGCATGGTAAAGTTGATGAAGATATTTAGAATGTGAGATACATGTGCTGTGTGATACTCTTTAATTTTGATAGCTCTTTAAATTCATTGGGACAAACAATTTCAAGGAGAATATTATAGGTTCTCTGGGGTCTGTATACCTGGGGAAAGACTAGGATGTGCTTCATATTCGGCCCTCAGCTTCTTAATAAAAGCCAAGGCCAAAGTTGTTGTTGGGGTTTGCCAGTTCCAGTATCTCAGCTGGTCCGAGTTGTTGAGGTATCTGAGGAATAGGAGGTCACCTCTTGCATGGGTAGGTTTCAGTCCCTTAAGGCTTTTACTATGTAAAATAAGTTACCTAAATAGCATTTGGTAGTTGTTACAAGTTTTAGAGCAAAATGATAGATGTGATGTCTGTGAGAAACACTGCAGTGTAAGTGGGCTCTCAAGGTGAGCAAGCAAATTATTGGAATTCCAGTGTTGCCCCATGCAGAGCACATTACAGAAATTTCTTCATCAGGTGGGAAAGGATCTTTTGTGGAATATCATTCTTCACAGCCTATGCAACGTCTGAGGCTAAGCTTGCAAAATGTTTCTCAAAACAGTGAAGATAAAGTAGTCTTTTAGTTCTTCTGCTTGCTATCCTGTTTGATAAGAGTGAGAGAAGATTAATGTAATGCTGTTGAATATTAGCTGTCACCAAGTTTTTTCTCTCAGCCCTACACATCTTTGCTCCTATTAGCTGGCTTCTTAGGCTTTCACTTGCAGTAAAGTAAACCTCCATGTGTTGAAGCTTTCTGGATCTGTTTCCCTGCTAGTGTAATTCAGAAGTGAACAAAGCAAGGAGATACATTTACAACATACCAATTCTTTCTGCTTTCAGGTTGTTTAGCAATTTAAAAACCTTTCACATTTTATTCTCATTAGTTGGTGTCACTCTGGTGAAACTGAATGTTATACATGAAAGCATTCAATATATAACTAAGATTCCTTTTGAGACGTTCCCTTCTGTGCTCATCTTCAATCCTTCAAAATAAGATAATGTACACGACATTTTAAATTATTTAATATTTTCCCCTTGCTGGTTTTCTATTAACTCAGTTTTTGTTTTCTTTTCTTTAAAATATTAGAAATACATATTAAATCCATTAGTAAAGTGATTGTAGTTCTCTAATAAGTTGCACATTAATTGCTCTAATGAAAGTTTAATGAAACTATGTTAGTATTAGGGGAGATCTGGTAAGACCACTGATGCTGGGAAGATCTAATTTCTCATTAAAGAAGGATAAGTGGACTTACAAGAACCTGCCTTATGTAGAGGGCAGCTTTTTCTTTTCCATGTTAGTAAAAGACTTAAAAAGCTACCAAGTCTCACAGTTTCACATGGGGCTTTTAAAAAAAGAAATTATTGATCACCCTGATCAGAATAGAGATGCAAGCAAGAAATATGAGAGGGGAGATGATGGGAAAACAGTTTTTCTGCTTGCAAGGTTGTTGATGAGGATGGGGGAAGCAACCTAATGGGCAGGTACTGGGTGCATCAGCAGCTAGGAATTTGGGGTAATTGTCCCAGAAATCGTATCTTTGCTGTCTCCCTTTGCCAGTGTGTATTCTTGCTTTCTTTTGGTTGTTACTTTTTAGCTTGGGTTCAGGAGGGAAAGTGGAAGTCCACTGACATCTCACAAGGCAAACTTAGGTCATCCTCAGAAGAAGTGACCACAAAGATATTTTTGTTACATATTACAAACTAGAGAGAACCTAGCTGGTCTGTGAATGGTTGTGGCAAAGCGGGTGGGTGAAAATTGTGGCTTCAAAATTCAGAAATTGTAAAAAAGTATCTTCAGAAATTTATGTTACAAAACTTGTGTGTGCTTGTTAAATCCATTTAGTTAGTTATTTGTTTGAAGATCCATTTTTAAAAAATGCATTTTTGATTTCACTTTCATCTTCAGAGACTGATTATGTTTTATTTCATTATTATGATTATTATTTTCAGGGTGAAAATTAAAATTAAAGATTGCCACGTAATCTGTACCATTTTTTGAGTTATATCAAATAAACAACTTCTGCGCTTTAAATATAACATTAAAGCACAAGCGAAATGAAAGATTAGGAAGAAAAGAAACCCCATTATTTTGTATGTACCCCTCTATATCTGCATCCCCATGCAAACATATAAACAATTCTGAAGCTGTGGTACACTGATTTGCTGTTTTTTCCCCAGAGTTCCCAAAGCAAAGTGCAATCTAGCAGAACACAGTGAGATTAATTCAGAAATAGGCTTCCTGCTGATTTTCTGATAGCTTGTTTTATTTTCATTGTTTGTATATAACTGATGTTGACTCTGTGGCAGTGAAACATAAATTGCTCTTTGAATTGCTGGCATGCCTGTGGAATGTTTGCACTATGAAATAAATATAAGTAATACAAACAAGGTGATCCAGAGTTAGCATACTTCTTCTTAAGGAAGCAGCAATGTGATCTAGATTTAAAATAGCTGCAATTTCACCTTTCAAAATTTTTGGTCTTTGCCCTTAGAAACGTGTTCCCACATGGCAGGAGACTCACGGAAAATTAGGGGATTTTCATGGGAGTAATACAAGAAAGACATGGACATGCAGGAACAAGTGCAGCAAAGGGCCACAGAGAGAACGGGCTTGAAGTTACTGGTAGTGTGAGGAGAGCTGGGATTCCACAGCCTGAGGAGGAGAAGGCTCAGAGGGATCATTTAAATGTGTATATATACCTGGTGTGTATGAGTGAAGAGGCAGAGCCAGGCTCTTCTCAGTGCTGCGCAGTGATAGGACAAGAGGCAATGGACACAGAATGAAATACAGGAAATTTGACTTGAACAGAAGAAAAAAGAAATTTACAGTAATGGTCATCATATATTGGAACATGTTCCCTAAAGAGGCATTCAGCATTCCTGCATTTAAGACTTTGATGAAAGTTATTATTGTTCACTTTTAAATTAAATATTAATATTGTTGAGTTCCAAACCATGCTTTGTTGGAAAGAGCTAATTTGTTACTGAATGTTCTTCCTTACTCACTGTTTGACCATGCTAAAATAAAATCACAAACTTAACAAGGAAGTAAATTCCCCCCTCCAGTCCCTGATGCATTTTTTCCTTGTCAAAAAGAGGTCATTATGGTAAAAATCCACCTGGTGTAATAGACACAGTCATTATTGGTATGTGCCCAAGATACATGGCTTCTTGTTTTAATGTAGTACTGTATTTCCTCTTGTTCCAACCTTCTGATCTACACTATGTAACAATATAAATGCAATATTGGCATGGTCTGTGTTAGGTGGACAGGGCTTGCAGTCATGAATGCCCTGTTCTACCCAGGTTACTGCATGGTTCCCTGAGCACAGATAGAAGGTGGAACTTGGTAGGAGAGGGAGTCAGGAACTGATGGAATAGATTCCTTCCAAAGTAACATGGGAAAGGAATTGAAGACCTTAGAAATATAAAGTAATTTATTTCTTTCCAGAAATTATGGGAGTATTTAATCTATTATAGCACTTCATGCTTCATTAGTTTTATATACACTTTGATTTGAGTTATTTTTCTTTTTTCCTTGATGTTCTGGTTTTTCCCTGTTTGTTCTGGGTTTTTTTGTGGGTTTTTTTGTGTTTTGTTTGTTTGTTTGTTTGTTTGTTTGTTTTTGTTGGTTGGTTGGTTGGGTTTTTAAAAAACTCACTTTATTTGGTTTCATCTCTGGAAATTCAACATATATTTAGTGAGTTTAGATTAACATAGCTTTCAGTGCTCTTAATGCACCTAACTGAATGTTAAGGTTTATTATAATAAGCATTTTCATATTTTTCAGACTCTACACTGTAGATGGAAAGCTTGTTCAGAATGGGTCAGACTTGGAGAATGGGCATATTTATATTGCAGTGGGTAGAGAAAAGTTTAAGAAATTACCATATGGTGATCTGCTGTCCAAATCTACAACGAGAAGGTCACAGGGGTAAGTTCTAAAGGTGTGTGATACACTTCTGTGTGTTTGTGTGTGTCAATTTGTTTACAAAGTGCCACCAGTAAAGTACAAAATTATTATTCCAAGAATGATGCATGGGTTAGTATGGATGCAAAGCTTCATTGTTAGCTTCTGAGAAAGCTGAGATAAAAATAACAAAAGCAGAAATGGAAATTCAGAAGACCAGTTCATCTCATAAGCATTCCTTTGATCATGTATCACAAAATTAGCATCTGAGAAAAATTAATCCAAGTCTAAGTAATCCTATTTTTTTTCCTTGGGATACAAATGTGTACAGCTGAATAAGACTGGGTGCAGCTACAGCAGTTTAGGTCTAGTCTTTGTTAGTAATGTTTTGTGAAATATATACTCCCTTAAGATTGTTTTATGTTTGAGTCTATTTTTTGTAGGCTAGAGCAATCACATAATAGAGTCCTAAACTTGGTGTCCGTAAGGAGAAATTTGTGCTTTGTGTACCTTTGGAAAACATAAGAATTTGGAACCATTTCACTGAAATAAAAGGAAAGAAATGTAAATTGTAAGGAACATTCACATAGTAATTCACTGGATGCTGCTCTGCAAGGTTTTGGTATATAAAGTATGCATTGTGGGGTAATGCACTTTTTGAATAAGTTAATGATTATGCATTTAAACATAGTCTAGTAAACAGAATGAGTGATGCTTAGTGAAAACATGCAGTGAAAAAACAATTACCTCTGTTGCCATAGCCATCTTGGTGTTTTCTGCCTTGATTTTAGATACATAGTGTTTGTGCTTGTGACAGTGTACACAAGTCTAATATATGGCTTATTCCTGCAGTTCCAAAACCTCTGTACTACCTCCAATTGTGGGATCTCGAAAGTCTAAAGGCAGCGTAAGTATCAAATTTCTAATTCAGCTAAATTCTGGTAGATGGAAAGTCCCTGTCCTTTGTGTTTTAATTAAATCTGAAGAAAAAAAAAATCCACAGCCATGTGGTGGCATGCTTATTAAAGCCTGATGAATCTGTAGCTATTTTCAGTGTCAATTAGAAGAAATCTGAGAAAATATTGTTGTGATAAGCTGCTTTGTTTTTGATAAAAGCTTCCATAGCAAAGATCAGCTGCTGGCTTGAAGTCTTTCCTAGAAACCTGATCATATATATTTATGTATTTATTTATTTATTCAAATTATATAGCGAAAATAAAAACACAGAACCTTTTACAAAACATTTTGCAGAAAACTGTGTTTCTGAACACTGAGTCTGAAAAAGGCCCTAAACCAATTTGCAATCTGATATATTTTATTTTAAGTAGCCACTTCATACAGAGCTTGATCCTTCAGTGCTTTGTGTCCTGCATAGCTATTTATATGTGTACAAAATGAATCAGGGAACAATTAAGGTTGGAAAAGCCCCCCAAGGTCATTGAGTTCAATCTCTGACTTATCACCACTGTGTCAAGTAAGCCATAGCATGAAGTGCCACATCCAGTTGTTTCTTAAACCCTTCCAGGAATGGTGACTCCACCACTTCTCTGGGCAGCCTATTCCGATGCTTAATCACTGTTTCAGTGAAGGAATTCTTCCTCATGTCCAATGTGAACCACCCTGCCATAGCTTGAGGCCCTTTCTTCTTGTCCTGCTGGTTGTTGACTGGGAGAAGAGCCTAACCCCACCTTCTTTTTGTAGCAACAAGAAGAGTCCTCTGTGGATTTAATTTTAGTGCCAAAACGGAATATAAGTATCTGTTTTCACCAGTTCTCCACAAGTGCAGTGTACTGTACAAGTACAGCAGGGAATCAGACTCACAGTTTGTCATTACTTGTGGTAGTTGATCATGTCCATTCACTGTTTACAAAGCAAAACAAAAAAAGTCTCTGGAGCCACTAAAAAGAAGTAAGCAATAAAACATACACGTTTCTGCTCATGTTGCATTGAATGTGTTTACTGCCCTGTGAACACTGTCATTCACCTCCAGCTTCTCTTGACACTTAGAATAATGCCCAGGTCTCATTTACACAGACAGTGATTTATTAACAAGTCATATTAACATGTTATATCTTGTGGCTGTCCACACATATGGATGAGAGATAGTGGCATATAATATGCATGCATGCATAGATTCATCTAGCCATTCTTTTCATTAAATGAAACATTATTTTCTTATAATAAATATGTGATATTTCTTCTGGAAGCTGTTGAGAATTTAATTGGTCAGGTCATACACTAGGATAGTTATACTTCTCTGGATGATTTAAGATATCACTTAAATGTACTAATTGTAAATTATTATGCTTCTTTCACACCTGATACCAGTCCTTAATGAAATTTTAAAAATAAAATTTTTAATTATCACTGATAATTACATCCTCTTCTTTTCAGGGAAATGATTGGCAATCTAAATCCACCAGTGACCGGGGAGAAAAGAGTTCCTCACCTCAGCTGACCAAAAGGAAAGACAAAAAAAGCCAGAATCCAGAGAATTCTGTGTCCAGACAACATTTTTCTAACCCCTCTACAAAAGTAAAACAGACAGTAAAAGCTTCCACAGGGGTCCTTCAGGATAATGGTCAGTACTGAGATAAACACTGTGGTACCATAGTGGCTTTTGGTCTTCAGTTAAACCAGCGAAAGAGTATTAGTAGTAAAATCACATGCTTGAATAGTTATTGAATTGTCTGTTTACTCTGGTAAACTGGAATTGCCAAAGTTCTTTCTGCTTAGGAAATGCAGTAGCCACTACATTCCTGGCTTCATTTACAGAGCACAAGATGCAGTATATGATTTTTAGTATACCTTGGAAGTTAAGCTCATATGGTTCTATCATTATGCTTTTGGTAAAGGAAAATAAAAAATATATTTTCACCATTTCCCTACTGTTCTGCCCTGCAATAAGGTGAAAAAAGGAGCTGGTGTTCTCAAAGGATCCCTTGTTGTCCCTGAGAATCCCTGATTACATGCCTGACTGTGTAACAAAACAACTAGAGGCTGGGGGAGGAACACAGACAGGCTCCAGTTAGCTGGTAGCTGCTGTGACTAATTCTACAGCAGAGCTGCTGGAGTCCCTTTCAGAATTTGCCCTTCTCTGTGCTGTGACAGCAGTAGCAGCAGTTTGCAAATTTAGGCATTAACATCCTCTTTGAGAAACTGTTTTTCTTATCTTATAGTGTGATATTCCCTTTCCCCCATTTCTTTAAAAACCTAGAATATATATATTTTTTTTTTGTATGTATGGCCATTTTTGATAGATAGAACATATATGGGGAAATACTTATGTCTCTGTATGTAATGCTGTTGCTGCTCTACCACCTACTGAGAGAATTGGTTGGAAAGCCTCTAAGTTTATTGAAGAAGTGACTGCTTGCTTCTCACTTCAGCTTTTCCAAGCTTTGTGAGCCTTGTGTAACTAGGAGAGGCTGTTCAAGGCAGCCAATTGTCAGTTTGAGCTCAATTGTGTTTTTGGAGAAGGCCTTAGTTCTTTCTGTGATCCTCTGTTTTACCTCCATATATAAAGACCTGTTAGTAAAAGTGGGAATGGGCAGTTGTAGCCAGTTGTGGTTCAATCTCTTCTCCCAGGTAAGAAGTAACAGGACAAAAGGAAATGGCCTCAAGTTGCACCATAGGAGGCATAGATTGGGTATTAGGAAAAATTTCTTCACAGAAAGGGATGTAAAATATTGAACCTACTGTCTAGGGAGGTGGTGGAGTCACCACCCCTGGAAATACTAAAAAAAAAAAAAAATGTCCTCGAGGACAAGGTTTAACTGTGAACATGGTGGTGGTGGTGCTGGGTTGACAGTTAGACTTGATGATCATAACTATCCTATGATTTTAGCTCTTGAGAAATTAAAAGTCTTTTCACTCACTTCTGACTCACTCAGTGGAGTGTGGGAGCTCCACTGTAGTCAGAACTTCAGTAGCTTGTAGTGAAATAGTCAAAAGAAAAGGTACTATGATGACTCTGAAGGGTCACCTGCTGCAAAGCTGTTGTCTTTTTGTGCATTCTGTTCTGGTCACACCTCAAGATGAAGTGCCCTGAAGCACAGGCCAGGCAGGTAGAAGCTGTGAGCCCTGCTGCTCTGTGAGTATCCTCTTGCCCAGCCAACCCTCATTGTCAAAGACTGCCCTTGACAGAAAGCCAGCATTGCAGAAGTATGATTTATACCATGGGCCTTGTCATTTATCGATCTCATAAAATACAGAGAGTAACCTTTTATCCCATCTAGATGCATGAGATGTAAAGTAGCTTTTCAACAAACCATCAGCACATGCCCCCATCCTGTTTGCTTGGGGATAATAAGATTAATAATTTTATAATAATATGAAAAATTCCTTTGATACTCTTCTTTCTGTCCCAGTGCTATACCATCATGCTGGTCAAGAGTGATCCATTGTCACTTTCTTTGTAATCTGGAACAGGAAGGCTGGAAAAGCAGTTATAGAGCCCTGAAATAGTAGCTTTGGCATTAGCATACTGTTGCTGTTGAGGCAGGATGGGAACAAAGAGACTCTGATTCAGAAGACAAGAAGTGAACTGATTTATTTCAAATGCACTGCTCTTATATAGGGAACATTGTGCAGACCAATTTCATTGGTCTTAAAGTAAAAACATTTTACACCATTGGTGCGTGCTGAATGACGCACGGTGGCAGAACTTATCTACAAACAATGTGAACAACAAGAGAGATAGATAATCATTTACATTCCTTTCCAGATCTTTCCTAGGCCCAGCCTGGTTAGAAACCTCTCTTTTCCTCTCTGACTGAACTGAGAATATTCATAATCATACCTGCTCTTAGTGACAGCTAACAGTCCAAATACCAGTTTCATTCCTATCAGTATATGATTAAAACCATTAGATGTTGAATAAATTTTCTCATTCTCTTCAGAAAACTTTTTGTGGGCCTAATATTCCCTTCAGGCAATTGCCAAAATTCTTCTTTAAAGATATTGTATCTTAAAGTATTTTCTTCATGCTCTGTGATTGCAAGGGTGTGTGAGGTCCATTGTCTTTCCCCAGGTAAACATAATCAGACTTTTGTAGTATAACATAAATTACTTTGTTCATTAAATTCTGGTGTATGGGCCCTATTTATTTTAAAACTTATGTCTAATTTCTCAGCATCCATTGGGGTGTTTTGTGAAATTTGAGCTCCGCTATCAATCACATGTTCAAAGGATGTTTTCTAGGTCCTACTGGTATGTAAATATGGGGTTTATCCTTATGTCCTAGGGTGACCTTATGGTGCTTGTATCCCCATCAATGTGTTCTGTTTATGCTTGATGTTCACCAGGGGATAAAGCCTAAAGTTGTCCCAGCACTTAGTGAGGTTTTTTCTTTCATCTCTTTTCCTCTCCTCAAAGGGTTTTGGTTATGTTTTTTCTGTGAAAGTTTTTGGGTTTTTTTTCATGTTTCCCCTTTGCTCTCTTTTCCCCAAGTGTTCTCTGGTTGTTGCCTGAGAGCTGTACGGGGAGTATGTAAAACTACCACCTTCATCTACAGCTCATTTTTGCTTCAGGGGTGTTTTGATCCTTCTATCTCAGGCAGGATACGTTTAGAAGTCCTCATTTGGCACTCGGGAAGTCTCTTCAGTGTTTGGGCCCCTCTCAAAGGCCCAAATTTGTTCTCCAGGATGGGTTTCCCAGCCCATTTCCTTGCATGTTTTACTGTGTCACGCAAGAGTCTTGCCCAAGAGGATAGGTCATCTTGGGGATCTTGTAACACTTTGTTATGCATTACACCTCCTCTTTGTCTTGTCTTTGTCTTCTCTATTTTATCTTGTCACCTACTGAAAACATTTTCAATGTTATCAGGGCTTTTGTCAAAAGAGGTCTTAACATATTAAGATTGACTTCTGTGGAGATTAGGATGTGTCCCTTCAAGTGTCCATACCTTGCCTTGTAGCAGAGGTGAATATTTCATGAGATGACCACGTGGGTATGGAAGCTGTTCCTCCTCTTTCCATAACCTCTGTTCCTCCTGCCCAATATGCAATACTGCTGATTATTGAATGGGGTTGATTGATAGGCTCAGGTCCTATGTTTAATAAGACTCCTGGCTCCCAGTATCTGTCAGCTTCACTTCCATGCAGCAATATTCTACCTGCTCCTGGAGAGACTTACTCTCAACAAATGCTCAGTCTCTGACTTCCCTGGTTTTCATCCATATTTTTCCTGTATATTTGCCACTTACAAGGCATCCCAGGGAGTAGTACTGACCATGATTTTTTTCTGATCTCCTTGAGGTAATTTGAACACTTCAGTCTTAATTATGGGTACCATTTTTAATTCTAGAACTGCTTCCTTTTTAGAAGAGAACCTAGAGGTTCAGTCATTTCATTGGAGTCCCATTCTCCCTCATCAGCATTTTCATCAGGGTTTTCTCAAATACCACCATTTCAATGCTCAGGTGATACTATTAATTTTTTGATTTTTCTAACAGGGATTGGTGAGTTTTAATGTCAGCTCTAATTTGTTTTTCTCCAAAGTTTTTTGCTTTCCTTGGAATTCTTTTAACTGTTGTTTTACCTTGTCATTTTGATACCAAAAATGCATTTTTTTCTTTCCTTTATTTACTATCTCAGATGCTTCATTTATTTCATCATTTGTTCTCTTTATTGCCATGCAGCCTTTAAGCATAATCTGCATAACTGTAGTGTGCTTAGTATTAAAATGATGGAAGTGTGCTGAGAACTTAACAGAGCAAAAAATATTGGTGTTTTTTTACATTTTAACCATTCATTACAAGTTAATGTAACAACTGTAGTTTTTTTTTTCTTTTTATTTATGGCAAAAAACTCCATTGCAGTTAATGTTTAAAGATACGGGGCCTCTGGGTTTCAGAATACAAATAAGTGAGCATGGCTTCCTCTGGCAGCAAGACATGCTGTGTGTGTACTTGTACTTACCCTGTTGCCTGTATGCTTTGTTTACATGGCTGCTGAGGACCTGTCATACTTCCCTTTGGGTTTGGAAGGAACTTACACCGCTGGGACAGTATGTTGGGATCCAAAGCACAGGCAAAGGGTACATTCCCTTTCCTGGGGGCACCACTTCACCTGTTGTTTTCAGTACTTCTTCATACACTGGAGACCTGCATTAACATCCAGTCCAGCTTGAAAGGGCAGAATACAGGCTGTTCAAGCGCTTCCCCTTCTCCTAATGGGTGTGCTCTTAGTGCTTTTAGTGTGCTCTGAAAAGTCTCCCTGTCAGCAGAGAATCTCCCTTGCTCTGTCCTGGTTTCTCACCTTGTCTCTGGGTGAGACGGACACCTACAGTGGTTGTGTGACTAGTGGGGCTGTTGATGAAAATACCTTAAAAGGAGGTAATCAGATTGGTTTATCCTCTCAGCTGACAGTGAAATTAGAAATCTAGTTTAGATGGGGTGCTGAATTATTTGATTTATGAAGTAGGTATATAATTGCTTCCTTGCTGCCTTAAATGATGACATTTTCAGGTTCATTTTAGAGTGAGGAGTCTTATTCTGAAATGGAGACTTACTCTTCATGGAAAACTAGAAGCCAGCTCGAGGAACACTTAGATAATGGTGACTCCCAAGTACTATTTTGA